ATATTATCAGGATGACACATAAAATCATGACACCCAGTGTGCCATGCCTTAGCTTCATATATCATCTCCATTTTCCTAACCATATTTAGTTAGCTTTTAATGAAAGAAGGCAATTGTTTTACTTAATAGGCTCTATTTAACTACCTATTTAATAAGATCTAACCAGAAAAAGTTTTATAATTTAATCTATTGTTTTAAACAATGTCGTTTTTTAACTTCCGTATTACCTAGCTCTTCCCATAAGAATAACCTAGGCTGCTGACTTGGCATTAAATCGGTTACTATTAAAATAAATTAATCTAATCGAGTTATTTCTCGTCACCCCCAAAGTATTCTCAGTTCCCACCACTCATGAAATCATGGGCCCATGGAAAGAGTTGTGAACATGGAGTCTCTGTCCACAAACTTCTTCAAAGTTTATTATTACATCAGTAGATTATATAGATACATTGTAAGGGGTGGTGTAGTGGTTTATCCAATAAGAATTTTACACTAGATCATATAGGAATGTATAAGGAATACAGTTGGCAAACATATGGATATGCATTACATCTGTGTGTTATATAAAATGGGAATATGGGCTGGAAGTTCTGACCATATTAGGACTACATCTAGCAGAAGGATACCTCAACTCTGAGCAAAGGACAGACCGAACTCAATAACCTGGGTATGAGGAGGCCCCCACCATCATTTCACCATTTGAACCCAAGAACAAATATAGCTATGTGGGCATGCGTGTATACATTGAGAGGTAAGACTACAGAGAGTAAAGAGAGAGAACACAGAAGGGAGAAGGGAAAAGCACAAGGGGAGAGAAAGGAAGGGTAGAAAAAGGAGGGAGTGAGAGCACAGACAGGCAAACTCACAGAAATATTCTGGCAAAGAATGAGTAATTTCTTGTCCTATGACCTCTACAACTGCAAATGAAACCTTCCTAGGACCTCATCCTCCTTCATATCAGCAGATTCTGCTGCCTCCCCTTTATCCTGATAAATTTACTCAACAAATAACTATGCCAGAACCATCTGCAACACTCAAACCTCCACCTTATGGGTACCCTCAAGTGCTTCCGCAAGGGTTTTGGCCTTACTACTACTCTCGTTACCATTATCCTGGCAAGGGTTATCCCACAGCTGAGTCAGCAGAGGATCCTACTACAGATACCCATGCACCAACCCAGAAGCCTCAATTTCCAAAGTACCCCCATATGATTTGGCCATATCATCCCACAGCTAAGCCAGCAGAGAAACCTCCATCAGATGACCAAACGCCAGCCCAGAAGCCTAAGTGAGGGAAGATATGAAAAATGTTATTTCATGATCTCTAAATGTTAATGAGACAGACAGGTATTTAATTTAATAATAATAATATATGCATTTAGCAGACACTATCATCCAAAGCGACTTACAGTGCATTCAGGTTATCATTGTTTTTTACCAGTATGTGTGTTCTCTGGGAACTGAACCCACACTCTTTTGCACTGCTAATGCAATGCTCTACCACTGAGCCACAGGAACATAGGTGTTTATGTGTATCTATGTTATCCCACAGCTGAGCCAGCAGAAGAACCTACTATAGATGCATAAGTGCCAACCCAGAAACCTCAGTTTCCAAAATACCTCCATATGATTTGGCCATATCATCCCACATCTAAGCCAGCAGAGAAACCTCTATCAGATGCCCAAGCGCCAAACCAGAAGCCTCAATTTCCAAAGTACCCCCATTTGGCCAGATCACTACCCTCATCATGGCAAACCAAAGCCCAATGAGAAACCAGTTCCCACCACCACATCAGTTGCCCAAGCACCACCTGTATTAATACCCTGATGACCATTATCTAGTCAGACCAAAGCCCACAGAGAAGCCAGCACCAGCCATCCTCACACCTCCCCCACCAGGTTCGCCCAGAAACCTCAGAAACCGCAACTCCCATTGTACCCTGGAAGTCAGTTCCCTCAGTATAGCCATTACCCCAATTATCCTCTTTATTTACAGCAGTTTTATCCACAATACTCAGTGCAGCCTCCTAAAACTCCTACCGCATCACCTACAACCACCACTCCTCAACCCTGTACTACAACTGCAGCAGCTGAATGCAAACCTTCTGCCAACCAGCCTCCCAAAGAGCCACCCAAATACTATAAACCACCCAGCTATATTCGTTATGAAAAACACCCTTTCAAACTTCAATTTGTGGACTTTTGAGAATTTGATCCCAAATCCTTCCCATGAAATTTGAATGAGGTCTGAGGACGGCTATTTTGAATTAGGTTGGTAATGTATTGCATGTGGCAAAAGATTGCCTCCTGATTGAATGCTAATATAGGTTATGGAGTGACAGCAAAGTGGTTCCTGCTCATTCATTTTGTCCTTGTTCTCTCAAACATTCAATAAATCAAATGTCATCAAACATCCTTTGTCTTCTTCTTTTTTTCTTTTTTTTCCCCCTAAATCCAAAGTATTTGATTTAGGCCATTTATGTATCTGGTGAAATGTAAGGTGCCTGATAGTGGAGAACAAACCACTGTGGGGGAATGGTATTATGTGAGTTTCAAACATCTAGTGTGAAATTGATGCCATAACACAGATCTAGTTTACTGCCTTATTTAATTTTTAGTGGCTGTGTTTCTTTTTTTTTCTTCTTTTTTTTTTTTACTTTATTTTGTTTTTTAATATGACATTTGTTTTTCCAGAACAAAGGTCCAAAAAGAAAACGATAGTACGGTATACTAGTAGTTACAAATAAACATCTCTGATGCACAAAATAAAGGAGTTCCAAACAGATCACTTCGATAACATCAACAGGGTGTGAGAAAAAATAAAAATAAAAATTGAATACAAAAAATACTACAATAACAAAATAATAATATTTAGGTAAATAAATGTAAGAGTTACAAAGGTATAATGCAGTATAAAAAACAGAATAAATGAATAAAGTTATTACATTCCTAAGTGATCTAATACAGGCTTCCATATTTTCCAAAATATATCTAGCTTATCATTGTTAATAAATCGTAACTTCTCAATATGAATAATGCCCGCTAGTTCACTCAGCAACACATCGAATATTGGAACAATGTCAAGTTTCCACCTCTGAAGAATCAATTTCTTTACAAGAACCATAAATAAAGAAATACACTGCCTTTCATATGTACTAAAAGAAGGTACAAAAATCACCCCAAAAATGGCAATCATTGGATCTGGAACAATATCTTTTTTATACACTTTTGAAAGCAGGTCAAAAATATCAGTCCAGTACTTGTGAAGGTTACAACATGTCCAAAATGAATGTAGAAGTGTACCCTCCGCAACCTTGCGTTTATTGCAAACCGGTGACACTTCAGGGAAAATCTTATGTTTTTTAATATGACATTTGTTTTTCCAGAACAAAGGTCCAAAAAGAAAACGATAGTACGGTATACTAGTAGTTACAAATAAACATCTCTGATGCACAAAATAAAGGAGTTCCAAACAGATCACAGCGATAACATCAGCAGGGTGTGAGGAAAAAATTAATAAATAAAACATAAATAAGTAAATACAAAAATACTACAATAACAAGATAATAATATTTAGGTAAATAAATAACCAGCGTAAATAAGTAAAGTTATAACTTTCCAAGTGATCTAATACAGGTTTCCATATTTTCCAAAATATATCTAGCTTATCATTGTTAATAAATCGTAACTTCTCAATATGAATAATGCCCGCTAGTTCACTCAGCAACACATCGAATATTGGAACAATGTCAAGTTTCCACCTCTGAAGAATCAATTTCTTTACAAGAACCATAAATAAAGAAATACACTGCCTTTCATATGTACTAAAAGAAGGTACAAAAATCACCCCAAAAATGGCAATCATTGGATCTGGAACAATATCTTTTTTATACACTTTTGAAAGCAGGTCAAAAATATCAGTCCAGTACTTGTGAAGGTTACAACATGTCCAAAATGAATGTAGAAGTGTACCCTCCGCAACCTTGCGTTTATTGCAAACCGGTGACACTTCAGGGAAAATCTTATGCAATTTAGTTTTGCACATGTATACTCTGTGTAGAGATTTAAATTGAATTAAGTTGTGTCTAGTGTTAATTGAACAATCATGTATATTCTGTAAGCATTCCTCCCATTGCGCATCCTCAATAATGAAACCTAAATTCTCCTCCCATGCTTTCCTAATTGAAGTTGTGTCACTATCCACCAGATCAGTTAATACATTATAGAAATATGACACTGCTTTTGAGTTCCCGGCTTTAAATCGGTTTATTTCCTCAAATTTTCCATGCTTTTTTAGTTGTTCAAAATCAGGAAAACATTTTCTGACATAGTCTCTAATTTGCAGATATCTAAAAAAGTGAGAATTTGGTAACCCGAACTTTAATTGGAGCTTTTTAAAAGACAAGAAATGCCCATTCATATAAAGTGAGCCGACACAGCCTATTCCCTTCTGTTTCCAAAGCAAAAAAACCTTATCATTAAGAGCGGGAATGAAGGAGTGATTCAGACATATGGGGCTATCAAGATATACATTAGGAGCTTTAATATATATTTTAATTTGTTTCCAAATTTTTAAAGACTGGCCTGTAACAAAATTATTATTATAGATACGCTTACTAACCTTTCCTGGACTATTGCATAGTGCCTGCAGTGAAGAGTTAGAGCAAAGGGCTTGTTCAATTCTAAGCCATTCAGGTTGTTCACCGGTTCCTTCTGATGGATCATCATTCCACCAAGAGAATATATTCAAGTGTGCTGCCCAATAATATGCTTTAAAGAAAGGTAACCCAAATCCCCCTATCACCTTAGATTTAAAAAAGTGTTGTTTTTTAATTCTTGCTGTTTTATAATTCCATAAAAACTGAAAAATGATCTTGTCTAGTTGTTTAAAATAGGATTGTGGTATACATGAAGGGATAGACTGAAATAGGTGGTGGCTGTGTTTCTTTGCGAGATGCTTGTGCTCCTCCTCCCCCTTCCTTTTGTGCGTGTGATGCTGGTCTCAAGGGTGTAGCTCAGACACTGCAGTAGAAGGTAGGGCTTGGCTGCTGCACTATACAATGCGCTGAAAGATGGTGCACCAGGAAAAATGTGTTTACCAGGTAAGACAGGTCAATATATCTTGTATAGTCTTAAGCATTGTGGCATCTGTGTATGTGTGTCTGTAAGTGTGCATATCTATATTTGCTTCTTTTTTTGATGCTAAGAAAAGAATTTCCTTCTGAGTGAAGGATGTTAAAAAGCTTGTAGATTTAGTTTTGAAGAAAATGTGCTGCTTGAATTAGAACTAATTTTACCCATCTCACACAAGGTCATATTTTTCATTTGTGTGGATGGCTGCATTTACTTGGCATTAACTGCTAGTCTGTGGCAACATCTCATCCACTAATGAAAGCTATCAAATCTTGCTGTTACCATTCTTCAGAATGTACAGGAAACCTGGTTTACAGATTGTTAATATTACATCACAAGCTGAGTTATTGATGTTTCTCATTAGCCTCTGTAGTTTTTGAGTGCATCATGAATCAGCCTCTCCTCTACCCTGCGTATCCTTTTATCGAAATGTTAATATCAGTGGAACTGGCGTGCAATCAGCCTGAAAATGGAATGTGGGCAGCAGGGTTGAGAAAAATAAGTGTGCCTATTGATATAGGAAGGGAAAATTATTGAAAGTTATTGACCATAGTAGGCCTTTTGATTAGGCTATACTGGAGTTGAGTGCAAAGCGTTTTTTATGTTAGTCATTCTGAGCACCAGAAGGCAACTGTGTTGCCGTGGCAATAAATTGAGCGTAGTATGAAGATCTGAGAGAACATTTTATTCTTGCCAATATAGTGTCATCACATCAGGAATGGTTGCACAGTTATGTATTTACCCATCTAACAGAGAACATTTGTTCAAAGTTATCTGTTTTTAATAATGTTTTTAAACGTTAATATAACATTTGTTCAAAGTTATCTGGTTTTAATAATGTTTTTAAAACATTAACACAAAAACATTATGCATCGTTTATGGAACTGTTGGATGTTCTTGTAACATTTTTTTTAAATATTACTACTGGTTTCAAAATGTTCAGGGAACATATCAAAAGTAACATTCCCACAATGTTTGCAAAATGATAACAGGAGTGTTTGCACATTCACATAACCAAGAAAAAAAAGATGTTTTGAACACTAATATTATTTTCATAACTTAATGGGAATGTTAGAAAAACGCTCTTAGAACATATTTTTTAATAGCTGGGTATGTGTTTGTGTGGGTATGTTTGCCGAGCACCTGTGCTCTTCCCATGTGTACTGCTTCTGGTTTCTCTCCTTTTTTTCTCTTCATCTCTGTAATTTGCCGTTTATTGAGGCAGCAGTGATTTAGACTCAAGCACAAAATTAGAATTTATATCATACATTCCCATCCACACTCCCAGCATCAGCTTGTCTCTTTTTTCCACACCAATACCTTCATGCCCTTGAAATCCAGCACGTTATTTAAACTGTCATGAGCATTCAGTAGCCGCTGTAGGTAGCTGTATGAAAGTGGATGACATCTATTTTAAAATGCCACATCAAATATTCCTGTTGTGAGACTGTGTCTGTGAGCGTTCTCTTCATTTATTGAAGTCGACTGTGTTTTCGTCAGGCCCAGAGGAATGAGAGGGAGTCCATTAGGCAGAAGCTGGCCCTTGGCAGTTTCTATGACGACGGACCGGTTACCTTTACTGGCTGCAGCAAGAGCAGCAAAAACGGCCTGTCCTCACGGTCAGTGTGAGCTTGTGTTCAGTGTATTGGTGTTGTGTCTTATGTAATATTGACTCTTTTTTTTGGGGGGGGGGGGATGACACTGTATGCACTTCTGGTCAGAGGTTTGAAATAAATGAAAAGTTTTTGGCTCTTACGCTCACCAAGGCTGCATTTATTTGATTAAAAATACAGTAAATGCGGTAATGTTGTGAAATATTATTACAATTTAAAATGACAGTTTTCTATTTTAATATATTTTAAAATGTAATATATTCCTGTGATCACATGGAGGGTCAGCTTTGCAATCACAGAAATAACTTACATTTAAAATATATTAACATGAAAAACAACTAGTTAAATTGTAATAATATTTCACAATATTACTGTTTTTACAGTATTTGTTATTAAAGGGGTCATATGATGCTGCTAAAAATAACATTATTTTGTGTATCTGATGTAATGAAATGTGTTTATGCGGTTTAAGGTTAAAAAAACACATTATTTTCCACATACTGTACATTATAGTTTCTCCTCTATGCCCCGCCTTTCTGAAACGCTTCGATTTTTACAAAGCTCATCTCTCTGAAAAGGCGAGGTGTGCTCTGATTGGCCAGCTATCCAGTGCGTTGTGATTGGTCGAATTCCTCAAGCGTGTGACGGAAATGTTATGTCCCTTACCATATTGTGATGCCTGCGGCAACCACATGTGACGACCCTGGGCTGGACTCTGCTTCGTCCACGGTGAAAGCCGATCCGGCGATCGACAGCGCGAAGTTGAAGAATTTCCTCAGCGACCAGCGCGGATCAGCTCCAGGCATGACGAAGCGATATCGTCCTCTTTTGGAAGGCCAAACAAAGTAGTTTCGCTTTCACAGCGCCTTCACGAAATGGCGGCGGCAGCAACAATACTACAACGAGAATAAAAGTTATGCCTTCTTTCTTTGCGTGAACATTTGGGCGGAGCAAATCTTCCCACATAGTGAGGTAGACATGTGGGGGCGTGTTAGAACGAGCCGTTTTAGGTAGGCGTGGTTGACTCTTGACTTTTATAAAGAATATCTCTTTGGATTTGAGACTTTAGTCTTTGCAACTTTACAGATCTTCTTTATGCACCAAGAGCTTGTAACACTCCAAAGAGAAAGGACAAATTTAAATCGTATCATATGACCCCTTTAAATAAATGCAGTCTTCAATTATAAGAGACTTCTTTCAACAATATTTTAAAAAATCACAATTATTCTAAACTTTTGACAAATAATGTAGCAACTGGTAAAAAGAAAAAAAAGCTACATATTTTATAAGGTTCAGCAGATAATATTTTTGGTGTTATCCCATTTGCCACTAGATAACAAAGCACCATTTCTCCAGTGCGTTTCACCATGAGGCACATCAGTCTTTGTGGGCTGGGCTTGTAATCGTCTCACTGTATCATTGCATACCAAATGTATAATTTGTTTGCAGCTTATAATTCATGGAAACTTTAGCAGTCAACCCCATTTCTCACTCAACATCTGAGTGTGCTTTGTTTCAACGGTTTGATCAAACAAATGTTTGACAGAAAAACTGGAAAAAAACTTACTTTGTGGCTATTTTAGTCTGCTGTGCTCATTGTTTAATGTTTGGAGACCTTTGAGAATGAAGAGAGTCTGTTGACTTGACACATTTTCTCAAGAATAACATGGGGAGGGAATTTAAACATTGCTGATGTGGAGAGTGAAAATATCAGCAGTTAATCTGCAAAATAATAAGGCCAAAATCTGCTCCTTAAGAGATCAGTGTCTATAGTTATCACTTATAATTGTCATATGTACATTTACCTAACTTTATATATATATACACACTAAATAAACACTAGCTTTCTATTTTTTCTATTCTATCTACTTGTTTTTCTTTGTGTGTGTGTATATATGTGTGTGTGTGTGTGTGTGTGTGTATAATATATGTATGTATGTGTATGTATATATATATATACACACACCTTGCTACGTGTACTGCGTTAGGCTAACCGAGACTTGTCATTTGCACTTATATATGGTTGCTCTTTTGTTAGTTTAGACTGCTTTTATTGTCCTCATTTGTAAGTCGCTTTGGATAAAAGCATCTGCTAAATGACTAAATAAATAAATACAATATATATATACACACTTTTAGATTACTTTTGACCTAACTTGTTTATCACATTGATTTATATAGGATAATCTTGTAAAAAAAATTATATAAAAATACAAACAGTAAGAAAATATATTCCATTCATTGTAATTAGCAACATGAGGTTAAACATTCAATTACATTACATCAAGGTTTTCCAAACTGGGGTTAAAGGAACTGCAGGCCCAGGGGTTCGTGAGTTTAATAAAAATATAATAATTCATAAAAATGTAAAAATAAAATTCATTTTAAAATGACATCAATCAATATAAAACACTTTTTTACATTTAAATTAAATTAAATTAATTAATCTTAATTTAACACATAAATTAAATATTTTATTTGTTTACCTGCATGTCATGTGTACATTAACCAATGACAGAGAACCATGAACATTCAAATGTGATTTAATTATTAAAATATTTCATTTTAAATCTCAGGGGTACTTCAAGTAAATATATTACGGGAAAGAGGTTCAGATGACAAAAAAAGTTTGGGAATGCCTGCATTACAAGTAAATAAGTGTAGTGAACAGCACATTCCAGGGCCCAGTTTATGGCGGGCCCCTCTCTGACTACAATAGTGGACAAAGGTTTGATACATTTTGATTGGAATTTGGTGGACTAACATAAGCAAACTGTCCAACGCCATCAGATAAAGATGCCAGGACAAAAGCCAGACACCTCTTAGAGGGCAAGAAGAAGATCTCTAGTACCAAGCCCAGGAAGGGCAGGACTTCTCACTGAACAAAATGCAGTTTCTGCCCTTCACCCACCCAGAGACTGATTCCTAAGGTTCTGGTCTGTGAAAAAATGTAAAAATAAAAATTCCTTAATTCTGAGCCTCTGGCACATGAGGGAAAAGGCAATAACGGATACCAAGTCCTGAATCTCCAGCTTTTGAGGAAGCAACAGATACAACCACGTTCTGAGCCTCCAGCCTGTGAGGAAAGAGAAACTCTATGTTCAGACTTCAGAGTCTTCGTCCCGTGAGACAACAACAGATGCAGCACATCCTGAGTCTC